GTGAAGATAGGTGAGTACCAACTATCCATGGCCTGAGAAGCCATGGATTCCGGTGACCGGTGGTTGAAAAGGGGGTAGGAGGAGGCTAGGGTTTCGGAGAGTTTTTGAGAGGATTTGAGAGGGTTTGGGATTCAAAGGTGGCGGGCCAGGTGAGAATGAGGGATTAGGGTAGTCACCTGTGTTTAATTATGGTAGGTNTATGTATGTATATGATATTTGAAAGTATTTGCATGTAAAATAAATACATAGGAAAAAATTGGGTTTCAATAATGGTTGGAGGAAGTTGTCCCCAAAATGGAGAAATCCAAAAATAAGGTAAAGGTTGAAGATGCCCTAATGCACATTAATTCGCATTTGAGTGGTGTCAAAACAAATTGAAAGAATTACAAGAAAATACACATGACTTCACACCATAATAAAAAAAATGGCCCATGTTTTTAAGTTTTACCCCACCTAGTTCACATTGTACATATTTTGAAAGCACTAGCAAACTCAAAATATGTGTTCTTACAACCATTTTTTCTAAAAGTTATGAAGTTAAATCTATATTCTCACAACCATTTCTTTCACTCTCTCTTCTTCTCACATCTTCTACATATGCTTCAAGGGACCTTGTATTTTCTACTTCTCCTCTTGTATCACCCGCTTGCAATGTAAGAAAATTGAAGAGTAGAAGTCCACCATTAAACCATTCAAAGCTTTGCTTTTGAAAATGAGTTTTTTTGAATTTGTTAGTTGTTTGGATTGGGTGTTATTCCAATTGATTGAAAATATCAAAAGGAGTTCAAAATTTAAATTTGAAGTGATTTAGAGTAAATTTGAGCAAAATTTGAGTTAAATTTCAGAAAAAACGCAAGAAAGAAAATGAAGTCGGTTTTTTGTATAATTATGTATAATCTTGTATAATAGTGTATATGAGTGTAGAAACACACCTTATACACTATTATACACTTTATACAAGCGTCTGTAGAAGATATTTAAGAAATCTTATACTTATATATTTAAGTTTGTTAAAAATCTAATTTTTACCACCCAATTGAATTTGGTTTGTTGAATTAATATTTGAGTCACAGTTATTGATTCGAAAATTAATTTAAAAGCTTGAGAAATCTTTTTTAAAAACTAAATAATAGAACCTATTAGAATTGGATGTTGAATCTTAGCCTATTATTTTTGAGCTAGTTGGTTGTAAATTGAAATATGAGTTATAAAATTGAAAAGTAGAGAGCTCAATTGTTCTAACGTGAAATTTTCCCAAACAAATTAACCTGCACATCCACCACAGCCGCCACAACCACCACCACCGCAACCACTACCATCACCGCCGCAACAACAACCCTGATACGTACCACCACTGTTGCTACTCACCACTGTCGTCGCTGCTGCTGCACCAGCGACAGCCGTTCCAGCGCCGGCCAAAACAACCATACGACCGTCTTTTAATCCGCGGCCACCACTAGGGGTCCTCGCACCTATTTCAACATCGCCAGCTCCTTTCTTCTTCTGCTTTGCTCTGTAACTTAGGCAGCACAAAAAGACCAAAAATAGGATCACAGAACTGCAGGCTATGATCGCAATATAGGCTGACTCCATACTACATATGCTTGTCAATAACTACTTTAAAGGCTATATTTATAGTAAAGCCACCGACCGATTACGACCGATCATTCTTTTGTCTTTCAGGTGCAACATGAGGAAGTTCATACCTATATAGATGCGGGGCCATAATTTCAAACTTATAGGTTGGAAATTCTAATCAATGTTTTAAAAAGTTTTTTTTTTGGATCCATTTCAGGGCTGAGCACTATCAAAACGTCGTGAGACTCATGTGTGAGGCTTAGTTCTATAAGGTTTACGCCCCCAAACGTCCGACTGTGCGCCCTAAACACGCCTAATGCTTAACGCTCGGGACTCGCCCAACAGTTTCTATGCAAATCATGTGTTGAATTCACTAATTTTCACTGTTGACTCTCAAAATTCTTTAACAAATGAATGATTAAAGTTTTTTTCATCTATTGAAAAATAAAAATTGTAAATAACTCAAATGACGAACTATAGTATTACATATTTACTAATTGAGAACATCATGAAGGTGAATAACATTTGACTATTTCTTCTAAAAATAGATAACCAAAATTCATATCTTTATTTGATAGATCTTTACGTCTTAGTTCTATCTCTCTCAAAATTATCATATATTTCTTATTTTACTATTTAAAAATTATTTTATATTTACTCATGAAGGAGTAACATTTTAAATGACAACGTTAATAAAATTTATTGAGTATTTACTTTTAAAGAGGTAAAATATAGAGTTTTTGATAATATTTTTCAAAAAATTATAATTTTAATTGTTTGAAAGTAAAGAGGTTGTAGTTAATTTATATTTTATAGTAACTTTAACAATATTATATTATTTTTACTTCTAAAATATGCTAAATATTTTATTTTATATGACTTTCTTTAATTCTTTTTAGTTTTCTTGAACTTATAATGTATCGTTTATATTTTTATTCTGTTATAATGCTATTTTATTAATTCATAAATTAAAAATAAAAGATTTGTGGGGCTTACGCCCTATTTCTCGAGGCTTTCGCCTCCCCCCATACTAAGTAAAACGTCTTGCTTCACGGCCTCGCCTTTTAAAACACCGATTCTAATTATTTTAAGTTATTGGGTTCTAAACTAATAATTTATACATAATTAATGAACTTTTTAAGGCAAATACAATACTCGAACCAAAAATACTGAATTTGGCCGAACATGTTCCCAGACCTCTAGCTCCGCCCCCTGTTCCTATTGCTTTACTTTTTAGTTGTAACCCGTGGTTGAGCCAGATTTTTCACTTAAATTCATTCAAAATAAAAAAAATACAAAAAATTAAACGGATTTAATATATAGTGTATAACTATATATAAAATAAAAAATTTAATCTATTTATATGGTACAATTTTCGTGAAATAGTTTCATTTGACATTCCTTTTATAAGAGTAGCTCCGCCACTGTTGCAACCGTAGGCTCTTCATAATCCTTTAAATCAGATGACTAGCGCTTTCTTGGAACTTTTCGTTTCATCTTTTAATTTAGTTCCTTTCGACTCCGGTCTTACGCTCGACTTTTATTTTGTTGGTTTGACTAATTAGGAGTTTTACTTGGTCTACTGAATCTAGCTCATATTTGGCTGGTAGATGCATGACTTATGATTATTATTTTATTAATGTATATTTTAAGTACCTTTCTTTCCAATTCGATTTGCGTGTCAGCCAAACAACTATATTTGGTGATGGAAGACTAAAAGTAGATGCTACCTGATCTATGTGTCATACAACATCCTGAAAAAGAAGTCCATCATCTTGACAAAGTTTACAAAATCTTGATAAAATGTTAGTGCTTGAACTTTCAAATCAATTTATAGTTTAATTAGTGGCCCACTAGCAGTAACTTAGAAATCTTCATGTTGGGGGAAAAAATAAAACTGGGAAGTTGGAAGTATTAAACCTTCACCATTTGACGTGAATTAAAAATGCATAAAGTATTTTATCTCATTTTATTTTATAATTAGTCTACTATACCTCAATTATAATTTGATTAATGGGATCTTTACACAAATAGCCGGTTGGATTCATTGTTTTACTTTTCTTTGCTGATATACACTAGTTATATACGATTATACATATATTATATATAAATCATACGTATATTATACAGTCGCGAGCTATTTTTAATTCGATTGTGTGGAGGCCTATTTGGATTAATTCTTGCTGATTAATTAGTTATCTGAATCATGTGTATCATTCTCTTTCTGGCAGGGAAGACATCTTTTCTTGGGTGGGTTGGGCCTGTGTACACCTTTGCACAATAATACCAGCCCACTTCAAAAGGACATGGCATACCCGTAACCAAAATGCTAATAAAAAGGGAAAAGTACAGAAATAGTCAATTCAAACACAAACTTACCAACCTCTAATCTAAAATTAAACACTTATCAAAAGTAGCCCAAAATTAGAGATACACACAAGGAAGAATTCTTCCATTCGAGAATCACACTTCCTTCCCTGTTTTTCAAGCGTATCAATTTACCAAATCACAACATTCTCTCCCTCTGTAAATCACGACATTCTCTCCCAAAAGATTCTCCAAAGGAGCTCCAAATTTCACTCAAAATCGATCAATTTCACTATATCCTTTTGCGATTTCTGTGTAGATACAACTTTCACGATTTCTGTGTAGAAGGAACTGCGAACTACAATCAAAATCAATCAAGGAATTAGTGAGTTTTGACCTAATTTCAGCTACTTCAATGGCAAAGTTACCAATTTTTATTCAGTATGGTGGCCGATGGAATGTTGACAATAACTTTGTAGATTACAATGCAGATGCCCTAATAGTTACTCCAAATATAAGTTTTGAAGATTTTGTAGAGGTGATTTCGAAACAACTTATGGTAGATACTTCACTGAATGAAATCAAATATACTATCCAAAACGGTTCTCCACTAATAGTGATACACAATAGTATGGGTGTATCTGTATATCTTGAGCTGAAAAAAAGCTCGGAATTTACAATGTATCCCCTTTGTATAACACCGAGTGAAAGAGATATGGACATAATCTGCTACAATTCAAATTCTGCTGTGATTTCCTCGGAATGTGCACAAAGCTCAGTTATAGAGGAGAGATACAATGGCGATACAATTAATAGATCGAGCTTGGGGATGGAGAAGACTGACACGATACAGAATCTACTGAAAATACAATAATAACTGACCCTCAACACATATATGTAGAAGAAGGTCAAATTTATAAAGATAAGGCTACGATAGTCAAAGTCACGAAGCACTTGGCAGTAAAAGAAAAATTTCAGTTTAAGGTGCATAGATCAAATGAAAGCATGTATCAAAATATTTACTATATAATTAGGTATCTCAATGTATATCGTAGTTAATGTTAGAAGCATAATTATACAGAAAATAAGTTGCTGCTTGTAAGTCTGTGGCTGTACACTTTTAAGTTGTGGTTGTCACCGTCTAGTACTGTATAGTCGTTGTATTGTTTCATCTAGTATTGTTGATGGCAGTGTGTATCACTATATATCATTGTATTTCATGTTGCTCTATTTATTGATGGAAAAGTTTATATCCTTGTCGTAGGTACTGCCTAGTATGCTTCAACAACAACTGTGATTGATATTTTACGTCTTTGAGCCTGAAAAAAGCAAAACTTTTCAAGGTAAGAAATTTCAGCAAAGTGCACTCATGCCCGTTGAAAGACAGATCTTACGCACAATGTCAAGCTACTGCAAAAACTCATCGGTAGTCTTCTGATAAACAAGTATAAAGACCCAAAAATAATATACACTCCTAATGACATAATTGGAGACATGAACAAGCAGTATGGTCTTCAAATGACATATATGCAAGCATGGAGATCGAAAGAATATGCAGTTCAAGTACTGAGAGGGAACCCGAGCGAATCATATGAAAAGTTGTCAAGCTACTTTTATATGTTGGTTCTTACAAATCCTATATCAGTGGTAAGTTTGAAAAAAATAGAGGAAGACTTGTTCATGTATGCTTTCGTTGCACTATATCTGTCTACAAAATGATGGCAGTATTGAAAACCGTTTATTGTTATAGACGGAACCTTTCTTAAATCGACATATAGAGAGACATTATTGATAGCATCNATATATATATATATATATATATATATATATATATATATATATATATATTATTCATGTATATACTTACATATGTTTATATGATTCAATTTATTAGGTAGTATCCTACCACTTGCATATGCCATAGTAGATTCTGAGAATAATGCTTCCTGGGAGTGATTTTTGCGAGGTTCGAGGATGCATTTGGGGAAAGGGAGGGAATGTTCATAGTCTCGGATAGGCATGAAGGCATTGAAAATACAGCGGCAATATTGTATCCACAAGTACCTCATTGTGTTTGCATATGACGTCTAAGAAATAATGTAAAAAGAATTACAAGAAAAATCATTTGCTGCTCAAAGACATATTCTTTGCTATGGCCAAAGAATATACAGTTGTGAAGTTTGATTACCACATGACAGAGGTAGAGAAAATTGATAAGAGGGTCAAAGATTACTTAATGAACATTGGGTATGAAAGATGGTCCAGAGCACATTCCACTATCAACAGAACATTGACGATGGCTTCAAATATTGCGGAGTCAAACAATGCAGCGCTCAAGGCTTCTAGGAAACTCCTAGTACTGCCTTTGCTGGACTACATAAGGCAATTGATTGGGTGATGGAATGTTACAAACCTAAAGAATGCAGTAGAGTTATCTCATCTTGGAAAAAAATATGATACAATGTTGATAGATAATCTTGAATTGTCACATCAGATGAAGTTATGACTGGAATCTGTAGATACTTGTGCATAGAATATGTAATCATACTGAATTCACGGATCTATTATATGTTGAACCCTTTGTATGATTCTGTTAAACTAGTGTCCACCTGCACAAAAGCAAAGACTTTCAATTTAATGTAGCATCTATGCCTACCCCACTACTGAAATATTGGTTGGTTTGACATGATATTAGATTATTTTGAATCTTGTAGGCTCTCTAGTATATGTATTTTGAGGGCATCTGCTTTGTCACCACTAATGATAGTTGATAAATTTTGCAGGTGACCCTTTCGACGAGTTACTTATATTCAGTACTTGACAAGGGTAAGCAGAGAATGGTGTTCCTAAAAGATCGAACTTGCAGCTGTAGAAGGTTTCAGTTGGATGAGCTGCCATGTGCACATGCTTGGGCAGTATTAAAAAACAAATACATTGATCACATTGAGTATTGCTCAGCGTACTACGCCAGGAAGTACCTACGGAAGGCCTATGAAATTTCAATTTATCCGGTTCCTGATGAAAGCACATGGAAAATTCTTGTAGAAGTTCTAGATAAAAAAGTCTTGCCACCAAATGTGACTAAAACATTAGGAAGGCCAAGGAAAGATAGGTGCAAGCCAATATCTAAAAGGGAACGAAAAAGTCAGTTTCATGTGGACAGTGTGGAGAAGAAGGTCACAACAGGAAAACTTATAGAAATGATTCAAAGAGAGGGTGAAATATGTCAAACTTAGAATTACTTGTTATTTACTTTACTGAATATCATAGAGATTTAGAAGAATACAATATATCAAGAATTGTATCATTGCAGAATATCATTTGAATTTTAGATACAAATAATTATTTGATATATCATTTAAAATCGTGTTGCAAGTGTATTTTTTAAATTATACATCTATTTGATTAAAAATAAGTTGTATCAGCTATGTATCATATTTGTATCACCTATGTATCGCTTGTGTATCACCTATTATCTCTGTGTATAGGCTATTACTCATGTTTGTATTTGTGTTGTAACAAAACTAACTAATGGAAAACAGTCATAGCAGCCAGAAAACTATGCAAATAATTTTAGAAATTTGCAAATATGAATGTGGCTTCATCAATACATATTTCAAAACCAAACAAACTGCAGAACTCATTGGTAAGAAACTAACTGTACATCAATCCAAAACGACTGTATCATCTATGTATCACACTGTGTATCATATGTGTATCATATATGTATCATACGTGTATCTGCAAGAGACAATGTATCACAAACTACCGTATATTTTTCATATTTTTAATTCACAACACAAAATCAAGGAAGAAAATACCAAAATAAACTAAACTGCAACACTCCAATATCGCACTAAAACTCATTAAACCTTTATAATAGAGCACACATATCATTTTTCATACAATTCTTAAAAGTATTCATAAAATTCAAACACAAATAAATCTGATCTGTCTTACAACAATGACAACATAACAGAACATAATACAAAACGAAATTACAGAGTTCATCCTACAACAATGACATAAGTAATTATTTCTTCTGCGTCCGTGGCTTATTCTATCGTCCAATAATCTCATCATCACTTTGCGTGTTCAGTTCCATCTTCTTTCTAGCATAATCCCACAAGAGAGCACCAAATCTACACCCGTGTTCATAGGCATTGAATTTTTTAGGAGGTGTCTTGCCCTCAATGAAATACTTGGCAAATGATGCCGCAAATACACCACAATCACTGCAAAAATAAAAAGAACAACAATTATCAAACTACAAAATCTAAAAAACAAAACAGATTGTGTTGAAAGAAATTCATACGCTTCGACTTGTTGAGGCAGTCCTTCAACCAGTTTTATATCAAAAGGGGTAATCAAGTCCTTTCATTTTTAGACACCAGTGCACCAACTGATATATTTTTGTTTAAATAGAAATGCGTGTGCACGAAAAATGAGGTAGCAACACGGAATATTTGGCCATGATCTTATGAACTTTGGCTTGATGAGCAGCTTCACCGCGCATAGAATCATACACATAAAGCACATATCCTTGAAGGATATCACAGCCATTATCCAATGCCATTGTTCTACAACATTAATTGGCATTAAGACGTGCTTGACAGTGTGCCATGGAACACTGGAATCCAAGACAAACCCCTGAATATACTCTGCAATGACATGTTCCAGATTGCACACATCACTGTCTCCATCTGTATCAATAAACGCCTACCACAACTCATTAATTTTCTCGTTGAAGTATCAATCTGTGGTGGTGAATGTTACAGGTAGGTCTTTGTCATACTTCCCCTTTTTCCTCAGATGATAGAACAAAATATCAATGTGCTGAAATAAAATATGACAAATACCTAATCACTGAAGGCTCGTAAGCTTTAAGCAGCTACGATTTTTCAAACCAAAATCACAGAAACAAAGGAAAATGAATGCTCACTACTATCTCTTGTGCCAGGCAATAGCAGTTAATAATCTGCTCTAACTTAAGAGGACAAAGTGTTCATGTGTACACTGGCTAAAATTTGAAAAAAAACTGTAAAAGTAACTTCTTACATACTGAGTCATCCAAAGGCTGATCATTATATGCCAAAGTGTAAAATTATTTTTTATCTTCAACATGATATACACCAAGATCTTAAGCAGGATTGAGTTCACTAACATGCTTCAGGTAAATTTCATTCCTGGTAACATATATACACAAAAGAGATACAATAATTTGATATAGAATAATGCTATAAGTGACAATATATTAAAATATAAAACTGAACAAAACTCAAAAGTTGGAAACATACTTCATTCTGGACTTCCCTTCTTTGACCCACGCAGCAAATACATTCAACAAAGAGCTATTAACGCAGTTCCGATTTTTCTTTGAAAAGGATGCTTAACAGCATAAATTTGCTTTTTTTCTTTCGCTGCAACAACACCATTATTGGAACCTGAATCAAATACAATAATGAACGGAGACTGCACGACCTTTGCAGGATATCTCTTTCTTTTTTCCATTTGAGGTGATACTTTAGGAAGTAATTCAAGCTGGTACAAAACAATCAGAGATTTAGTAACCTCTTTCTCAGATTGTTCCTTTATCTCCCCTGCCGCCTCCTCAACACTTGCAGTCGTACAAACAGTGCCAGTCTGATATTCGAGAACCTTTTGTTTCTCAGATTCTTCCCCTGTCTCCCCTGCTGCCTCATTTGAAGTCTCATCAATACCGCCAGTATGCAATATATCTGGTGTGAAAGTTACTTTAGCAACAAACATGTTAACTTTCACACCAGAAGGTCCTTCCATAATATTGACACCTAACTGATCTACTGCATCGAGCACAATGTTGTTGTCACACCTCCTTTTTACACACCTAAAAGGGGTATATGGGAGTTTTTTCAATTAAAGTGACATTATTCGAAATGGGATTATTTAATTTATCAGAGTCGCCACTTGGAATAGTTTATTTGGTGTCCCAAGTCACAGGTTTATTTTAAATCCCAAATCGAGGAAGTTTTTGACTTTATTTAAAAGTCTGCGAACTAGAAATTTTAAGTAAGGAATTCTGTTAACTCGGGAGAAGGTGTTAGGTATTCTCGAGTTCCGTGGTTCTAGTACGGTCGCTTAGCGATTTATACTTGGCTTAAATTGTCTAATTACTCATTTTAGGAACTATATTTATTTTACCTTTTACCGCTATTAATCACTTGATAATCCATATTTAAAGAATTAACTTCATATGAATTACGCATACGTATACTCATTTCGTTTGGCACGTCAAAATCATGTCACGCGTACGTGTCGACAATTAATCACGCTTTATTATTATTAAGAAAGTTTTAGTCAAAGTTGCGTGAATGCATCCCTCGATTTATTTGAGAAAGGAAGTCATAATTATGTTACGCGAACGTATACATCATCACGATGATTTATTAATTGCGCCTAAAGCATACTACGGTATTCATTTTTAATGTTTTCCCTTTTTAGGATTATTTGTAAAGATCCAAGCTATAGACGTTAATGTGGGAAGCATGATGGGCAACTGATTCACTTTCCCTATCAGTACTAAAGTCGATGATTTTAACAAAAAGATAATTGACACAACTAAATTTTTACAGCAGTATTGTTAGGGCCTAGACGGACAACCCAAGTGTGTTTAACAAATAAGTCACGAAAAACAATGGACTCGAATTGGGCTTACTTATGGAGCCCGGGCCTAGCGAGTTTGCCTTGAATGGCTCATCATCGCCCTAGTATTACATAATCAGTCACGCCTGTACTCAGCAACAATAGGCTAAAATATTACAACAATGTTAATTATCAAGCTAAGATAATTTAACTACACAAACATACAATAATCAAATTTTAACTAACATGATGTCAACATTTCCAAAATGTAAAGAGCCGAAATTCAGGTTCCAAACTAAATGACGTTTGGTTGGAAATCTCATATTGTACCAAATAGTCATTCTATCAATCAATAAATTCTATTAAACCTTATTACAGACATAGCCACTTTGGACATTGTAATGATAGCCACTTTATAGTAATAGCCAATTTTAACATTCATTTTTTAACTAATTAATCAGCTCACATGATAAAACTTACAATGACAGATACATATGACGAATCTAAGAAAAATAGCAGACTTGGAACATAATGATTTCAGAATTTAACAAAACTTAACAACACAATCATGTTTAATTAATCATATTCATATTATAGCTATCAACTTTCATCGGCCAAACATTCACATGTACTGCCATGAAGGATGGATTTAATCTTTTGATTCTAAGAATGATCTAAACAGTAACATGTAAGCAACAAACATGTCGCAAATCTGAAGACAAACATGTTATTATGACTAAAAAATGACACAATAAAACAAGAGCGAGGAGATGTCATTCAAAAATAGTTACATCATTTTAAACTGAAATACATACCTCAACCATCAGTAATACAATTCGAAATTAACCCAAATAAAGGTTAAAACGGAAGAATAAAGCTTAGCGTGCACTACAGAATAATCAACAGCAGTAGCAACAGTGTTTTGAGACCAACTTGATCACCCAAAACCCAGAAATTAGAAAATGTTCTCAACGGTGAACAGAGATTGAACTAATCTGGAGCGTAAATTTGAAATTCAACTCACTCCAGACTTAAGAACAAAAAATCAAAAATAGAAGAAGATGATTGAAACAAATTTTTCCTTTTCTTTTTTCTTTCGCTGGTAAAGAAAACAGAAAAAAATTAGACCCCGAATTCTGAGGAATCTCCAAGCCCTCGATTTTTTTCTCTCTGCCTCAAAATAGCAAGACGACCCCCAATATATAGAAAAATCTATCTCATGAAAAAAAATCTTACCCTTTTTTGAGAAATCCGAAATTCTATCTCTGGAAACGAGTAAAAGACAAGTGGAAGGAGTAGATCGAGTGAGATTCAATCCTACGCCTCCCATTCATCCTAATCTCGTTTTCAAATTTATTTCGGATAAGATAAGCGCGTGAAGGAGAAGGAGTAAGATTCGATTTGTACAAAATCCATTATTTGGCAGGCCACGTGGAAGGGAATGAGATGAGAGACCATGTGATGGTTAGAGTGGAATTTTCCGATGAATATGGGCGGTGGTGGGCGCGACAGAAGGTGGAGGAGGAGTGAGGGTGCCGTTTGGGAGATGGAGGAAATTAGGGTTAGGTTTGGGGATGGTTATAAGGAAGGTTTTATATGATGTGAGGAAGGAATT